AAAAGACTTGGACTACTTTAATATGCATAAACTTCTGCGTATTGCTCTCCAGAAATTAAAAATAAATATTAATTAATAGACTAATAATGTTTAGAAAGTACAGCCAAGCAACAGCTTTGTTCCACCTTCGGGATATTTTTTGAGTCCTATATTCTCTAGCTAGGAATAGTCTTTCCCAAAGGATATTTCCTAGTCGGATACCTCTAACGAGAGTTATTTTTCCTTTTAAAAAAGTAACGGATAAGCAAATTCGTTGGCCAAATTAACCACGAAAACTGAACAGTTTTTATTAGGATCTGATGGATTTATGCACGTCTTAATGAAACTTTCATTAAGGCGCTTTATCACTTGTTTTGACCGCGAACTAAAGAAATTATCGACTTGATGCCAATTTGTTTATTTAGTTTTTTTTATTTATTTTTTTATTTTTTTATTGTATTCAAATGATGCTTGCTATAGCTACAAATTTTGTCCTCAGTTTCGATTTGTTTTTGGCAAACAAATTTCAATAAATCGCAAAAACGTTGAGAACAAGTTTCGAGAGCGAACAAATACGAATTCGAATCGGACCGAGATATAGTAAATGTTTAGAGAAAATTAACAGCAATTTAATTGAAAAAATTTTTTGTGTTTTTGTTTTGGCTTTTAGCGTATGCTGCCTTTTGCCTTTTGCTTTATGGCTTTGCCTTTTGGCTTTGGCGTCCCTTTTCGAAGGCAGCGCCTGTCGATAACGCATAAAAATCAATAGAATAATAAAAAATTGAAAAGCATTTAATACGCCAATTGCCACAAAATGCGTGTGTGTTTATATATAAATACACATACACACACATTTACATACAACACTAACACACCCACACACACACACAACAGCTGCCCGCAGGCACGCGCTGTTTTCTTAGCTTGAACCGTTGGATGAGCTAATTCGCTTTCGATCGATAATTGAATGATTAAATCGGACGATTGGGCTCTAGCCAAGTGTAGCGAAAGGATCCAATAAATAAATATACACAATGTTAATATCTTTTATATATATGTGATTTCATGTGATTTCCTGCTCTATTAAATAATTGTATAAAGTGTATTTGTGTGTTCTGTCAACAATCGCAATTTTTCGGGGCAAAAATAGGCATGCTATTAAAATAGAAATGAGCACTTAAATACAGTTATATTTATATTTATTCAACAATCATTTTATTTGACATTTATCAGTCCAAATGCTGACTAATAAGAACAAAGCGGAGAAAAAAATGAATTAAATAATATAATTGAACGCGGTATGCACGACTGGAAGATGCCTCATAGATTTAATATGTGTGTCGATGTTGCAAAATAGTAATAATATTAAGATGTCTTGAATTTATTTGATACCAAAAAATTGTAATTGTAAAAGTACATATTTTGTTGCTTATTTAAATTGCATTTCTTAAAAATATGTATTTATTTACTATTTAATATATCAAAGTGTTACATATGTGATCTTAAATTCATACTACCCTTTGCAAATCTATATAAACTATATATATAAACACTGAAAACAAAGCAAATTTTCTGATAAAGATATTGTTTGATTTTAATTTTAGTTCTGTCATTTTTATTTTTATGTAAGTAAGCACAATGTATTTTATCGTCATGGGTGCGATAACAGCGTAACAAAAAAATAACATGCAAAAAAAAAAAAAAAAAAAAAAACGCCGAATTTTCTGTTTTTGTATCTTTTGTTGTTGGTAGAATCGAATTGAATTGTGTTTCGAGTCTAATTTCTGAAATTCACATAGTTTATTTACACTCGAAAGCTGTTTACGACACAAATTGCTTTCATCTTATTTTCATATATTTTGTTTATTTGCGCTATTCATGTAGGCCCAATTTTTAATTTTACTTTGTATTTCAGACTGAGCGTAGAGTGGATATATTATGTTATATCATGGGCGGTCTTTGCTTATGGCAATTTAAATTGGTTCTTTTTTTTAAATATATATTTTTCTTTATAGATTAAACATTTTACTATTAGTATTATAGATTGAATATATTTTACATCTAGAAATATTAAATGAAATGCTTTATTAGCTAAGTATTAAGAAATCATATTTATATTTAACACTGAGCATATGATTTATTAAACTAATATTATCTAATGCATGAATAAGTTATAGTTATGCAATTATATTAGTAACTCATTTATTGAAGTGTTAAATTAAACTAGTTTATTCCTTGATTAACAAAATTTCTCAACACGTTCTTTCAAGATCAGAAAAAAAAAATAGGTAGATTATGAAGAAATTTCATGCATTTTCATTAGCATTTCTAGCTTGATCAGTTAATCTTTATATTATTAAATTTCTATGCTGAGTAAGAAAAGCAATGTTATTGCTGTTCACAAAGTACATCGTTTGAAATTTGTAATAGATATTTGTTTGGAGTTCCACAGCTTAAACATATATAGTATATACACCGATGGCCATTGGAGGCGTGGTTTTGGCGCTAGAAATCCACAATTTGTCAGTTGCGTTGCTGTCGACTCTCTCTTGAGTCCTGTGCATTTAATATTTTGTTGTTTGTTTTTGTGTATTTAATTACACGAAAACAAAACAAAACAATACAAACTAATGCCATGTGAAATTGACAAACGTAAACTGCCGGGAGCACTTGAGGCATTCATGGAAAATATTTTATCAGTTGAAAAAAAAAAAAAACAAAAATGAAAATAAAGAAAAAAAATTATTTACAATTAACGTAGAACGCACACACAAAAAGCGAAATGTCGAAGTCGGACGACACATTGTCTGCCAGCGCAAAATGAAAAGGCTGTATATGGTATACATATACATACATATATATGTATAAATATGTTTACATATAGGTACATATATATAATAATGTTTCTGAGGAATTGATGTTTTTAGTATCCGAGCACTAATGAATCATTTAACAGATGTCCGTCTCGTATGCCACAAGCCATGAAAACTGAGCGGCATGAGACACATTTTGAACGATTGCCAATAAAGAAAAAACAAATATATATTTATATA